TCCCGGGGCCACGGTGCCTGCCTCAGCCGGCTCCTGCCGGCTCCTGCCTGCTGGGGTAGAACCCTGCAGCCCCGGGGCACCTCAGCTCCCGCTGCTGGAGCAGGCATGAGTGGCCCAACTGTGGGACCCCAGGCTGGGAGCTGAGCCCCCCACTGCCAGTGGAGCTGTGCCTAGGGGTGCTGGGGCTGTGGGGCCAGAACTGCCCTGGGGTGTCCAGCAGCACCGTGGCCCCGCAGAGCCCAGGCTCAACCCTGGGAGCGCAGCACTGTGGCAGGGTCCAACACAGGAGGTACTGATGCCTGTCACCCCCAGGGCCTGAAGCCCAGCAGCTTCTACAAGGTGAAGGTGCCAGAGCTGAAGGAGATCATCGAGGGCTGCATCCGCATGGACAAGAATGAGAGGTAGGGGGGAGCAGTGGCCTGGGTGGCTGAGCCCCCCCTTGGCCCCTGGCCCTGGCTGAGCCACGCTCCCTGCAGGTACACGATCCAGGACCTGCTGGAGCACTCCTTCTTCCAGGAAGACACGGGCGTGCACGTGGAGCTGGCCGAGGAGGACGACGGCATCAAGTCGGGGCTGAAGCTCTGGCTGCGCATGGATGACACCAAGAAGCTGCACGGCAAGTACAAGGACAACAATGCCATCGAGTTCCTCTTTGAGCTCTACAAGGACGTGGCTGAGGAGGTGGCCCAGGAGATGGTGGGTGAAGGGACGGGGGGACCCTGGGCGCTGCGGGTTCCTGCGCCCTGGGGTAATGAGCTCGCTCCTGCACAGGTGGTCCTGGGCTTCGTCTGCGAGGCCGACTACAAGCTGGTGGCCAAGGCAGTGCGGGACCGCGTGGTCGCCATCAAACGCAAGCGGGAGAAGGTGAAGCGTGCCCAGGATGTGCCATCGCCTCCAGAGCAGGAGCAGCCACCAGGCGTCCTGCGGCTGCTGGAGGAGCTCGAGTCCCCACGGCGGCCCGGTGTCCCCCCACCGGCCACCCCCGGCTCCGGGGACTCTGTCTTTGGCAGTGCCTTCCCTCCGGAGCCCGAGGAGCCTGAGGCTGACCAGCACTTTGCCTACCGGCACACCAGCTACTCTTCGGCCACTTGTGCGTAGGCATTGGGCAGGGAGACGGCAGGGAAAACAGGGTGGGAGGTGGGTGGGCAGGAGCGGAAGCTGGAGGGAGTCTCATCCTGGTCATGCTCACATGAGCACTCCCCCACAGCCGACTGCGAGACCGACGGCTACCTGAGCTCCTCGGGCTTCCTGGACTCCCCAGACCTGGCCCATCGCAGCTCGGCGAGGGACCCCACCAGCCCACCCCCCGCCCGCCCTGCACGCTGCTTCCCC